GGATATTTAGCTCCCAGTCCACAGCTGTCTGATCCACAGTGCCACCAGACGCACTATACCTGCCTGTTAGACCATAAAGCTGCCAGTAGCAGCTCCAGATCTCAAGCGCGACACTGGGGCTCCAGAGGCACTGCTCACCGAGCCCGATCCTACTGGTCTGCCTGCCCGAGGAGGTTCAACACTGGACCGGACCGGACTGAATGAACCACAGAGCCCTACAGCTCGGATCCGACCCGTTTCCCGAAACCGCAGACGAGCAGGAAGAGTAGGCACACGCACACGCACACGCACACACACACACACACACACACACGTGCAGATGTTATTACAGCTGCAGACAGCTGGCTCAGTCGGTGTCTGGACCCTGGGGCTGTGTGCAGCAGGTCTAATCCCCAGATTGGGGTCAGTGTTACTGAGGGACAGCGCGTTGCCGGGCGCCAGCTTCCTACTGCGTCCGGCCACCAGGGGGCGCCCCAGGCCACACTTCACCATATGAACCACGGTGTTCGTTTGCGCTCCCCTTCGCACGAGACGCAATTCGAGTTCATCTGTGATCTCCATCTGCTGCTGGGACGGCCGGCTGAGGACAGCCTCGACACCAGCGCAGCGATACAGTGTGCAGAGATGCAGTACAGTGTGCAGTGATACAGTGGGCAGCGACGCAGTGGTACAGTCTAGAGTACATTGTGCAGTGATGCAGTGTGCAGTGATGAGTCCATAGTGATACAGTGTGCTGTGGCTCAGTAACAGCATGCAGTGATAGAGGTGTGCAGTACAGTGTGCAGTGATACAGTAGTTTGCAGTGATGTAGTCTAAAGTACAGTGTGCAGTGATACAGTACAGTTTGCAGTGTAGTGATGCAGTGTGCTGTGATCAGAGTGACAGTGTGCAGTGACGCAGTCTAGAGTTCAGTGTGCAGTACTGTTTGCAGTGACGCAGTGCGCAGCGTGGCGGTGACGCAGTGACGCAGTGCTCAGCGTGGCGGTGACGCAGTGATCCAGTGATCCAGTGACGCAGGGACGCCCTGTGCAGTGTGGCAGTGATGTGGTGACGCAGGGACGCAGTGATATAGTGACGCAGTGTGCAGTGTGCAGTGATCCGGTGATACAGTGACGCAGGGACGCAGTGATCCGGTGATACAGTGACACAGGGACGCCGTGTGCAGTGACACAGTGACACAGTGACACAGTGACGCAGTACACAGTGATCCGGTGATACAGTGACGCAGTGACGCAGTGATCCGGTGACGCAGTGACGCAGTGATCCGGTGATACAGTGACGCAGGGACGCAGTGATATAGTGACGCAGTGTGCAGTGACAGAGTGTGCAGTGATCCGGTGA